GGGGCGGGGGGGGGCAGGAACAGAATTTCAGCTGTCCAGGCCTGAACTGGGAAGGTCCAAGCTAAGGCAGACGGAAGATGACCTTGTGAGAACTTGTTTGACTCAGAGCCCTCAGGATTTGGTCACCAGTGAGACTTCGAAGATGTAAAAGGACCTTTAAAGTTCACATGGAGGGTTTGAGCCTGCGTGTCTGGTTAATACAGATGCTATGAAGATCGGGAGAAACCTGATGAAGAGGTTAGGGAAAAAATAGGCTGCGTTTAGTTTGGGCGACAGTTTGCCCCTCCATTAGAGTTCCAGCAGAGGCTCAGCAGGTTGTCGATCAAAAGCCTACTTGATTTCGTAGAAAGCAACAGGTGTGATTGTAGATTCTGTTAACAGAAGCACGCCGTATCTAGAATAAGTCGGTGACCATTTTGTTCTATTCTGCATAGTCAAACCACAACTGGAATGTTCATTTGAACTTTATTGGTTTTTGTTTTGTTTTTCTGGACACCGTGGTTAGAGGTTTTCAATACAAATGGTAAGCTTACAAAAAAAAACCCAAAAAACCCCAATAATTCATAGCAGAAGTGATTGGAGGAATTTGTACTTTCTTAACCTGGAATAGAGGCAGTTCCTCTGAAGAATATGAGTGCTTCACCACTTGGAGAAGGGCCGTGTGAAATAATTAGACTAATATTAAGTTGCCCCATGCCGAAACCGGTTTGGCTCAGTGGATAGAGCATCAGCCTGCGGACTCAAAGGTCCCAGGTTCGATTCCGGTCAAGGGCATGTACCTGGGTTGCGGGCACATCCCCAGTGGGGGGTGTGCAGGAGGCAGCTGATCGATGTTTCTCTCTCATCGATGTTTCTAACTCTCTATCTCTCTCCCTTCCTCTCTGTAAAAAATCAATAAAATATATTAAAAAAAAAAAAAAAGTTGCCCCAGTGATTTAATGGGAATAATAAAACTACATGGCAGGCTTGTCAGGAGATAATTTGGGCAATGCCTCTGGTACATATTTGGCATTTTATGTGTCTCAGCTCTTATCCTTCCTCTTAAGAGCATTAAGACTAGTGGGCACATGTCATAGAGGTAGATTTTGCCATTCTATTGGAAATAAGTTTTTAATACTTAGTGCTGGCTAGCTAGATGGGCTGCCTTGATAGGTGGTAAATTTGAAGTCAAATGCTTGGTGGACAAGCACTTGACAGAGATGTTGTGGGGGAGTTTAAGGACTGGGAGGGTAAAGAACTTGAAGACCTCATCCTAACTCTGAGCTTCAAATGGTTCCAGGGAATTTGGAATGCAAACTCAAGAGACAGGCTGGGGCTGGAAATAAAACTTGAAAATCTTTTCCCGAGAGGTGACAGTGGAAGGTGGTTGCCAAAGGAAAAAGTGTAGAGAGCACCGCGGGCCTAGAATAGAATCCTGGGCATGTGGGAAAAGAAGGAAACTAAACTACGTTATATGAATGACGATACTTTTGTATGCCATGAGACCAAGGAAGTGTTGTTTTTCACCAATTTTATTCATATGTACATTAATTTTCCAGAAAATATTGGGGAGGGGAGACGGATTTAAGACAGGAGAGCAGCTAAGCTTTGCCTTGTGGCAGAGAGCATGAGCACAGGACCAAGGCAACACGCTGGATTTTGCAACGAGGAAGTGACTTGTGATTGTCTAGAAAGCACTCATGATTAATGATTTACACATCATCTATTCCCAGAGGGTTGGGGCAGCTTAATAAAAGCACTCTTCACACAGGGCAATGAAAATGAAACAAAATAAAGATAAGAAGCCACAGACAGAAATAAATGAGGAAAGGGGGGGGCGGTGAACGTGGCACAAACCATGGATGGGATTGTTATTGTAGCAGGAGCACTACATTTTAGCTCTGGGGTTCCAGCAGCCAGAATAAAAGGGTTGCAGGACCGGTTCCTTACCACTCATTGGTTCATGAAAGGAGACAGGTTTGCAGAAGAGTTTTTGTTTCTTGGCACCAAATTCTATGGAGTGTAGCCCATAGATTCTTAGATAAGGAAGGTGACATATTAGACAATGGGGTCAACAGCGATCCTGTGAATTCGCAGACTTGCTTTGAATTGCTTTTTCTTTCTGAAGCCCTTGAAGGTCAAGTGCGAAGTATTGAAATGAAGTCTGTGATTATTTCAGACAAGTTGATCATCTGAACACTGCTGAGACTGAAAACTCAGCATGTAAGACAGCCTGAGCGAGGAGGACGTCCTAGACAGAAGATTCCAGGGTCGTGCCAGGAACTCAGGGCAGAGAGGGCCCCAAGGACCTTGCAACCTCAGGTCCTTTGCACCTGCTACTTTCTCTGCCTAAAAAACTTTCCCCCAGATCGTTCTCATCTTTCACGTTTCAGTTCAGATGTTACCTCTCCAAAGAGATCTTTTCTGGACTCTGCCTAATGCTGTCCCTTCTTCATCCACCCAGCTCAATGTGTCACTCTCGAACAATAATGCTTTATTGAATTCATAGCATTTACTGCTGTGTTAAAGTGTTTTATTTATTATCAGTGTCCCTCCTCCCACATGGTAGGATGTAAGCTAGTCCACCAAACAATGCCAGGAGCAGAGTAGGTGCTCAGTGTGTTTAAGGAATGAATAGTTTATGTATGGGGAAGAGCTCAGCTCAGTGTCCGTGTGATAACTGAACACATGGTTGTGCTGGGGATGGAGTTAAGTTCTCCCTAAAATGTTAGCTGAGCAGAGGTTGAAGATTCTGATCATGTAAAAATTCATAATGGGAATATAAAACCACTGGGGTTCAGAGGAGGAACACAGATTCTCCGTACATTTTCCTGTTCACTCACAAGAAGCAGGGGTACTAATATGAATGGTACGTTTATGAATGTTCATTGAGCAGGTTTCTAAGGGGTGGAGCCTAAGTGGGAAGAGTAGAAAGGACCCTACATTGTGGCAAAGTCCCTTTCCTCTCCCTTCAGAAATTTTGTTCCATATTACCCGTTAAATGTTGGAACGTAGCTATTTTAACATAAATAATGTCGCAGGACTCATTCTAAGAAGAATTTGCACTTAGGTGCAAGTCCTTTTATGATCCCTCCTGGCAGCTAACAATAAAACCCCTATTGTGTTGAAATGTGTGTGTGCACAAGCGAGTGTGCCCGTATGTTGGTGGTAAGAAATGCATCCAAATGGCCTGCAGTCTAAATCAAATCACTAACACATCCATAGAAAAGCGGAGGTACTAGATGAGAGAATACCCTTTGAGATGGAGAGGAAACGAACCAATGGTATGAGACTGGAGCCAAGAGTAGGTGAGCCAGAGGACACTGGGTGTAGACTGGTTGTTGAACAAACTATGGGAAGGTGAGGACTCAACAGAAGAGAGGTAACTGCAGCCTCAGGTGGGGAGCAAAGCCAAGAAAAGCTTTTGTTAGACATTTATTTCAGGTTTGGGGAAAACTAAGTTTGTTGGCAATGGGAAGCAGACTTATCAATGGAGAGATTCAGGAAAAATGCCACGGAATTAGCACCAATTTTATTCATTCTTGAAAAATTGTACATGTGTCTTTATCAAAAATAAAACAAATATTAGGAAAAAGCATATACTATTTATTTTTTATTAATTCATTCATTCATTCACTTATTTTAGGTTGGACCTGGTGCTTGGGAGAAATTTTGATTAATTAGGCCCTATTGTGGGCTTTGCCTGCAGACTTCAGGATACAAGTTAGCAGTTCAGAGATAGTGGAGTTTCCCCAAGGCTATGGACAGGTAAGGCGTTTTAGAACCATTCAGCATCGTAAGCTCTAAAGGAACCTTGAAACCATCTGAGTCCACAAAATAATGGGTCCTTTTTCCCCTCACTTCCTCATTATTAACATTTTAACTCATCGCCAGAAGAGAGATGTCTTGGGAAAAATATACAAATTGGGTTTTTTTCTAAAGACTACTGGAAGCATCCAAAATGACAAAACGTGTTTTCCGATTAGAAGGAGACAAAATAAAAAATAATTTGGTTCTCCTTCTATGCTGAATGAGGAGATCTGGTCATAATATTAACTGAATTACTTGTCAAATGGCCTATGTTTGGCGGTTAAAGCAAACCAGACAAAAAAAAGACTCTCCTGATTACATTCTGTTAAATTGTGCCACAAGAGGACGTCCTGTCTAATGCGTTCCTTTGGGTAATGGGCGAAAAAGTAAATTACCAAAGTTTCAACCTGGTAAGAACGCAAGTTTAAAAAATGGAAGTGAGCATTAAAAAGGAAAGCAACCGCCTCACTCCTCGTTGGAAAAGCAATCTTTGAATTCAAGGTTAAATAAGGTAGATTTTTATATGCTCATTCTCTTATTTGAAGGATGAATAGTGAACTGTCATTCAAAATAAAGGGGTAAACTGGAAATTGAAGTGCAGATAACAAAAATGAAAGAAAGAAATCAGTGTTTAATGGCAAATCTTTCAAATCACAAAGCAAAAACTCAATTCATAATGTGATGTTTTATTGTTTGTGTCTAATGTTCCACTGTACTTGGCTTTTATAGCAATGATCTGGGAATGAAGAATAAGTGATTTGGAGAACAGTTGTAAGTTAAAGGGCTTCATGCTGACTGAGAGAGAAAATTTCTGTGTATGGTGTATCCAGTGAAATTGCTCTTTTAACAAATACTTATTGAGGACCCACTATGTTCCGGGCACTGTTCTGAGAGATTCCGACTTATTAATGGACAAAACAAAAATGCCTCCTTCCATGAAGCATCTATGTTTGATCAGTAATTTTTTAAAAAATTGGCTCCTAGAGGGAATCCCTTTGTATAGCATTTAGGGTCCTTTGTAAAGCAGGCTATTGAAGATGTGTCTATGTAGCATCCACATTTCTGGGCACAAAGGGGAGAAGTGGGCTCATTTGTCTTAGGCTAGAAATCTGACTTCCCTCAGTAATTTCCCAGGAATGAGCGCCTGTTTTATCTTCATCCCTTAGCTGTTTTATGCATTTGCCTGCCAAACTTGCTTCCTCTTCTTCCTAATCTAGGCCCTGAGGTACATTTCTGAGAATTTAGAGCACAATTAACAGAAAATTGAGATCGAATTTAACAGAGGTAGAAAACCAAAGGGAGTGTGTTCCTGAAATGCATATTTAGGCAGTAAGATAGGAAAGTGGTTTTATTGCATCTAAGCCCCTGGAAAAAAAAAATAGGTATGGAAGCTGTATACCGTGCAGAGCCAGACGGGAGTGAAATGAATGAAAATGAAGGAAGCTGTAAAAGGGAAGAGGCAGAGGCGGCTTAAAACTACAAGGAAGGAAGGAAGGACGTGGTCCTCTTTTTGTTGTTGTTTTTGACAGGCGTTTAGCAGTTTGCCCTGTAACTGAGGTGAGCTCAGAGTTTCCGATTATATTATAGGAGAAGCAATATTTCCTGAAAGAACTCATCTGGAGTGATCTGAGCTCTCATTTTACCTGTGATCTGTCTTGGTTCATAATGACATGTACAGAGCACAGGATGGCTTTGTTTTCAAGGGTGGCACTGAAGCAAGAAATTATGAATTATCAGAGCTGTTAGGGATTCAATTGTTGCCAAGGGGAAATGAAGGGGAGAGATGTGAATGTATTTCAGGAAAATACATAACTGTAGCTAATGCTCTGGTTTGTATTTTTTTTTTTCCATGATGGACTTGAACAGACATTACAAGTATTCCACCACCACAGGCAATAATTTCAGACTAAGCCAAGCAATTGATATTTTTACAGCTGAGACTTCTAAATATTCATTTTTAAGTTATATATTATTTGGATAGAGTTAAAAATCTGATTATTATTGTGTCTGATAGGCTAGAAAATACAGGGTAGACTAAAAGTTTATTTTGTTTTATACCAACAGTATGAAAAATTCATTATAGAATTTATTTAGTTCAAATTAAAAGAACAATAAATGCTTCATGGTGAAAGGAAATCAATTTAGATAAAATGTTAAGCTTGTTTCTTGACACTTAAAATATAACTATAATATGTGTTTGGAGATAGCATAGCGCAGTGGTCCTGAATACTAAACTACTAAAATGTCTGTTTAATCTTGAGATGGGATTCAGGAGAGCTGAGTTCTAGCTAGAGCTGTAAAGCTGCCCAGCAGCAACCAAGTGTAGTTGTGTGAGATCACTAGCAATACCACCAGGACATTTATGGCTACTACTGCTAGTCACCTAAGGTTGCTGATCAACCGTGGGCCCGGATGCCTTCTGAGACAGTGAATTCTCTCTCTGAAAGGAGGATTTCAGATGCAGACTCCTTAGCATCCAAGGACCGTCCTCTTCATCCTTTCTTCCACTGCTCTCCTGCTTACAATGACCCGTGTAGTTACTCTGCCACTTCTGTGCCTTTGTTCATACTTTTTTCTGCCTGGAATGCTGTCTGTGTTTCCTTCCCTTCTCTATTCTAAATCCTGCCCATCTTTTAGGTCTAAGTTAAAGCCCTAAGACCTTCAAGAATCTTCATCTGGCCACTTCCTAGTGACCCCCTCCTTCCACGGAAACTGCCTGCATCAGAACAATGATACTTGTTTCCTTGCCTTCTTCATGAGCAAACCTTTTTCCTTCCCATATTCTTAGGGAAGGGTGGCATCTACACAGTCACCCATGCTGGGCCACCAGCAGTCAACCTTGACCCACCTCTCACTCACACCCTGCTCGTCTAATCTTTCCCTAACCTAGGCTTGGTCCACCTCTTGGGTACTTCTTATCTCTACCCCATTTTCCCATTTCTCCTCTCCCAGTTCACCATCATCATTTTGCCTGGACTATTGTAACAGCCTCCTTGACTTCATTCTCACTTCACTCCACCCGTCCTCCACAATGGTGGTGGCAGAATGACCAAGCATGTGAGTCCGGATGCTTTTCTTAAAATATCCAGCATTGATTATAGGTCTGTGCTACATGTTTATTTATTAGCTATCTATTAATCTGGAACACTATCAACACTCTCTAGATAGGTCATGTTTTATAAAACAGTAACAAGGTAGACACAGAGTAACATCTGTTTGCCAGGTAGCCCAAGATTAAATTGGATCGATGATATAGACATACATGGAATGCCTAGGACAGGTTCATTGAAGTTGACCAGATTCCAAATTCCATGAGACTACTCTGCCCAAGGTTAACATTTTGCTCTGTCCCAGTCTTTACATTGGCCTACAAGGCCCTATGTGATATGTCCACACACCCACTTCATCCCCTGCCCCCAGTAGTTTTCTGACCTCTTAGCTGCTGCTGCAATAGGCCAGAACATTACCAATTCGGGTCCTTTGTTCCTTCTACCTGGAATGTTCTTGTCACAGCTATCCATGTGGCTCACTTCTTTATTGCCTTTATCTTGGCTCAAATGTCACACCTTTTCAGGGACACCTTCCTTGACCACTATTTAAAATTGCAAGCCCCCCCTTCCTGCCCTCTCCTACCTTGTTTTTCTCTATAGAAATTAGAAGTTCCATGTGATTTTTGTCTTTTATTCACTACTCTATCCCAGGCACTGAAACAACCTACATCAAAGTAGCCATTCAATAATTCATTGAATAAATCAATGAATTCATCTGACATGTGCGACATCTCTTCTTATATATCCAATATATTTCTCTTTGAATATCTTTATGTCTGTGATCTAATTTCAAGCCTGGTAGCTGGTTAATGTCTTACCTTAGTCAAACATGGTTTGCATTAAGAGTCATTTATCTTGGGTTTCACTCCTGGCTCTGACACTTTCTAATTATGTGACCTTGAGTGAGTCATTCTATCTTCCTGAGTCCAGTTTTTCTCATTTGAAAAACAGGGCTAATGACACCTAGCAGATTACTAGGAATATGACAAACACTACAGCTATAAAGTTCTATAAACATGTTAGATGGTACCTATTTTTATTTCTTATCTGCACAAGGAACTGAAGAAACAATATTGCATCATGAAGAGTTTGAACATAATAGTCAAGCTAATGCATACTTGAGTGCATTCTGTCTTTACTTATTAGCTATATGACACCTGAGAAACTTAATTTACCTCCTTTTCTACAAATAAGGAACAAATTTTATCTCAGAATTGATCAAAATTCTGAATTAGGTATATAGTGTATTATTTTAACAAATCCACGACACACACATTTTTCACCTTTTAACGTTTCAGAAATCAGTATGCACTTTGCAATCAACGATGTCTTCTGTTAAGTGAAATGTGGTATCTACTTCCAACTTTTGTATGTGACACAGGATGGTAATTATAGTTCAGAATCTCTCAGGTCATTCTGACAATTTTAAGACATTTTCCTCTCTTCCATTGGGAAAAAAAGTGGCTTTCAATGAATAATAATAAGGTGGTGAATTGTGCCTTAATAGTTTAATAGCCATATTTTTTGGCAGCTTGTCATTAAAACGTGTTTTTTCAATTTCATCTCAAAGAAAAGTTACACATTTTGTTAAAGCGTTAACCATGAAGTCACTCTTCAATTTATTTCTTTGTTACAGAGGAGGGCACTTTGTTTTTCTGGGTCCCCCTCCCCGTGTCTTCACTCTAGTTTGGTTGATACTTTCTCTTCTCTTTGGTGTGGTCATGGAGGCCAAGAATAGAATAATATCCTGGCAACCGCAGCAACCACACTTTAGCAGAACACAGTTGCTAGGAGCAAGGGGTAGTAGCTGCACTCAAGAGGTCACGTGGCTCTGCCATCCCAGAGGAGCCAGTGGGCTGTGGCAGAAACCCACAGCCCCGAGCAGCACGCTCCACCCCGCCTTGTGCG